GCATACATAGGGATTACGCGCAGAAATTTGTTACTCTCAAAGAGATACCCCAGAGCAAACGGCAATGTTTGCCGTCAGAACAAACAGACAAAGACCATGCTGCCAACCTGCTACCATTCCTTTGTGAACCAATCAGGAGTACAAGGTGTATTTCTCTTTGACATTAACGATCTTTGTCGAATGTTGAGGGAAGAGAGCTACTCCTTTTCTTCGTCCGGACATGTTTCTTTTTGCTCTTTATCATTCACGGCTCTTTGTTACAAAGTCGCAACAATTCTATAAAACCCTCGACCAGATCCTCTTCCCAATATCAGCATCACCTGCATCTCATACCTAGTACGAGTCGCACTGCATAATTTAGAGCTCTACATCCATACCCCGCCATGTGCAGACGAATCCCCTGCTCCAGATTTTTATATCTCATTAGATCCTGCGCCGCGCGGCTTTGATGCGTTCTTCCACGCTCATCGCTGCCCACGTACGATTTTAGTGGATGATAGAAATTCTGGACCTGGGTAGTGTACTGCTTGGCTTTTGTTCACGAGGGTGATATTAGGGGATGACAATGTCTGCGACGTTCAAATTGAGTGGCAACATAGATAATATTTCAATGCCGAGAGATGCCGCTCTTCTGAATTTGGAATTTTAGACTCCGCATCGAGCAATTCCTTCTGGGCCCTGGCTCGTTTGTTGCTTTCTTCCTTGTTCCTCGCGTCATCTGTTCGCAGAGCCATCATCCCTTTCTTTCTGACTCTCTACTGACTTTACGCTCACGAACTCTTACGCACTTGCTGGTTTCAAGGACGCAAGCAAAGCATACGCTCAGAAGTGACTCAGAGGGACGCCACACCGAACGCGGGTTACTAGAGCTTGACTAGAGCAGCTGGACTATCGCTATGGAAGTCGAGGAGGAAAAGAAGCCTTTTGATGCTGAGACGGCGCAGGAGGATGATGCGCAGCCAGACCCCGATGAGCAGCTTATGCTCGACCAGGGCAACGGGCGCATCTGGCTCGTCAAAGTGCGCACGATTCCAATGAAAGCCAATAGGACAGAATCACTAATTCCCCCGCAGATTCCAAAATTTCTGATGGAGCGCTGGTCAGCTGTGACTGCTGAAGACGTCCACCTCGCGACTTTGCGACTCTACCCATCCACCCCCGAGCGCAAGGAACGCATTGTTCTCTTTCTACCGCCCAACCGCGACCCCAACGATCCGAACTCACCCCCGTCCTCTCAGCAGTCCAACCGGCCGGTTTTCGACCAGGCTACGTCTTATCCTTCTAACGGTGCCGAGCCCGATGCTTACGAGCTCGACATGGTGAACGACAGCGTGGAGAACCAGATCGTCGTCGCCGAACGCCCGAAGGACGCCTCACTAAGCATCAGCGCGAGTGCAGCGGCTGCGACACCGAACACTCGCGCACGCACGACTATTTTAACAGGGAGGATCAAGCACGAGTGCAATCTCCGCCCCGCGTTCAGCGCGAGCTATAGACGACAGATGAAGGAGCGGCATAGGAAGTACAACACCCCCGCACGCCAGATCCGTATGATGAATACGGAGGATGTACCTGGAGGCAAGGGTGGCATCAACCGCCTCACGAGTGGCGTCGGGGTTGGTGCTGGGAACGCCTTCGGAGACTTTATCGTGCGTATCCAATTACTCCTCGTCTTTGTCCGGTAAGAGTAGGATTCACAACGTTCCCAGAAAACGAAGCCCAAGCAGGCGAAGGGCACCTTCGAGCGCATGGCGCGTATTCCAAGGAACCAGCTTCTCGATCAGCTGTTCTCTTTGTTCCGCCAGACACCGCGGTGGAGTATACGTCCATTGAGGGAGAAGACGCAGCAACCCGAGGTGTATCTCAAAGAGGTCCTGTCAGAGATTGCATTCTTGCACAAGTCTGGCGAGTACAATGGTTTGTGGGAGCTGCAGGATGCGTATAAGGATGGCTCGGTGCGTTGTTCTTTCTAGCTCATCTCCTGTCTCTTTGCTCATTGTGTATGCTGTTTCTCTAGATGAAGGCTGAGAACGTCCCAGGTCCTAGTACGCCTGCGGATTATAAAATGGAGGATGACTTTGACGAGGATGAGGATGAGGACGAGGACGAGGATATGGAAGAGGTATCGTAGGGAATATTTGCCTTTGAGGGTGGAGGTGTGCTCGCTACGATTTATTTCATATTACATTGCCCTGTATTATAGTACTAATTAATGCGCGATTGCCCCATTTTACAGCATACAAACCGTGTACGGTTGAACTTCAAGCCATCGCTTTGCCTCAACAGACTGTCGGCTACTCGTCCTATTGAAAAATTACATACCCTTTCCTATGGCTGCGCAGTATCTTCTAGCATCGCCCGCACATGTCCAGCATCTCCCCCATGGTCTCCATGCCCTTATCAATGCGCGTTCTGCACTCAATCGCATGCGTTTTTCTCTAATGGTCGTTGAGCCAATCATGATCGTCGTTTTTTTTCTGCGACGCAGACGTTTATCTGTTAAGTGACTGCCCGCTTTGCATAGATTTCCCTTATCAAATCACACAGGACCTATCATCATCGAAGAGAAGACTTGGGGCCTTTGGACAGGGATATATATAACCTCTGACTCTCCGGCTCAGCCGGTCATTGAAAGTGCGGCATCAAGGCATTCTCATGTGCGTGAAAGCCACATATTGTGCGCTATGTGAGCGGTGCTAAGTGGCACACCCTCTAAAGATTGCGACAAATCGTCTGATTTCTGAGCTTGGATAAATCGTTGCGGAGTTCTCACTGCCTTTGTTTTTGTCCGAAAACGCAGAACAAAATGCAAGAAGAGTCAAGGCCATTCAAACGTCCGTGTCAGTTGCCATCTGATCGTATCAGGATACTGATCTGTCTTTGAAGTCGTGATGAGACGAACATGGGGTTCGATAAAGTGCTATAGCTTAAGTGGTGGTAAGTGCGAAACTCCCACAATATTACATCAAACCTTACCCCTATGTGTTATCTATAGCTAGTCTACATTCAATGCTCGTTTCGTCACGAAGACTACATAAGACTAGGAGCGCACTGCATCTCATCTCTTGACTCTTCTGCGACAATCCGCCCCTCGGTATAACCGCCCAGCGCCAACCCAGCGCCTATCTTCTTACCCCGCCCCAGCTAATTAGCTATGCCACCTGTATGTCATACACTTTACGCGGGGTCTCGCAAGCGAAATTGACCGTCACTTTCTCACACAGCACGATGTGTCGAGCGCGACCATTCCACCCGCCTTCAAGCTCGACGACTACCTGCTGTGGCGGATCTTCATCACTATCGCCGACTCCGAAGAGGGCATCCACCGGTTATATCCCTACCATAGCAGCGCTCTCCACACCATCCGACGAGGGTCTCAAGTGTGTCGATATTGGCGCGATGTCATCCTAAACTCTCCCTCGCTGTGGGCCTCTGTGGTGAACCTCACGCACCTGCAGCAGAAGACGGACCATTGGAGGGACGTGGTCCTTCGGAGGTCCGGGACGGCGCTGTTGACTGTGACCGGAGCGGTGGACATTGCGCAGTCTCTCCTGTTCATTCTGGACACGCAGTGGAAGCGAATACGGAAGCTCGACGTCGTCGTGTACGACTTCCGCTCGCTCGAGGACGAGCGCTGGAAGGCGCTCCAGCAGCCCGCTCCGTGTCTCGAGTCGTTCCGACTCGGCTGCGCACGCGGTACGCCTCTTTTCCTTCAGGATGCATCGAGTAACATCCTGTTTGCGGACTACGCCCCATTATTGCACGAATTCTCCGCATCCCAGATCAACTTCCTCACCCTACCCCCATGGTTCGCTCATATTCGCGTGCTGCACATATCGTCCTGCTTTACCATGCCGCAACTTCTCGACTCTCTGGTCGACGCCCACTTCCTCGAGTGGCTCGATGTTCAGAATGGTTTCACACCGGTTACCGGGTTGGATCGCTTTCGCGAACTCCCCGTCGTAGTCCTTCCCAGGCTGTCTAGGATCCAGATTCGTAGCAATGTCGGTACTTGTCTAGATTTTCTGGAGCAGATTCAACCGGTTTACGGATGCAGCCTAGCGTTGCAAACCGACGATCCGACCGACGCTCCTACAGTATGGGGCCCATTGCTTCTGGACAAACTACGCCGCATTGTTTCTCGTTATTCAAAAGCGTACTTCTCCACTCATAATATCCGCGAACTCTCGCTTGATATCCAGAAAGGACGGTTCAGGTTCTCGGGGTACGCCGACAACATGCCTCCCTTTAACTCCCCGGAATGCCATTATTTCAACGTATGGATCAACAGCAGGACAGGATTCACTCCTACCATCGTATCCCTTTTATTCAACTGTCTCGCCTCATGTCCGTTCACCGGGATTACGAGCCTTATATTCAAGATGGTCGATATTCTCGATTTCGACGTGTCAGACTCAGACTTCGTCTCATTCATCTCCTCTCTTCCGAATGTCGAGGTGTTGCAGACAGGCTTCAAAACTATCGCCCTGTTAAATGGCCTTCGCTGTGATGCCGCCCCTCATTCTCCCACCGAGTTACCTCCGCCAATTGTCACACCCTGCCATGCTTTCCCGCTTTTGAAAACGGTCAAAATTCAAGAAATTGACCAGATACAAGTTAACCTTGAGGACGTTGTCACCGACTTTTTTAGGTGGCGGAACGATTCCGGTGTCCGCATCGAGTCGCTCGAGCTCATGATCTACGGGTACGTGACAACTCGTACTCCTGATTTGAGCTTTTTGGAGTATCTGGTTCCTGGAATGGAAGTGGTGTGGAGGTCGGCAGGCCCGATGATGCGCTATGTCTGCGGGGAAGGCAACCCAAATAAACTTGTATACTCTCCTTCAAGCTCGTTTTAATTTGTAATGTGACGCATTGTATATATTCACATCATGTCCGACTCCTCTTCGATGTAACCCGGTCAAAAGAATCATTACCCTAGCATAAATAGACCAAATAAAGCTGAACAGTAGAACGATATTGGAAAACAAAAAAGCTACCGACGCCAGCAGGATTCGAACCTGCGCCCTCAAAGAGGAATAGATTTCTAATCTATCGCTGTAACCACTTAGCTATAGCGCCTTATGGTATAATTTGCTTAACTTATTTGTATCCACGTGTAAACGACAATTTCGTGAGATATCAATGATGTCACCGTCTTGCGGCGGCATAGTGGCAATATCGATGTGGCGGCCAGTCGTATCAGGCATGTTCTCCGTGCTAAACTTGCTTCAACGTTTCTACGACAATTCTGCACGCTGAAGCTCGAAGTCCTCTGGGCTCAAATCTCGTAGACGCGTTCTTAGCTCTCTTGGTCAAGCTGAAGCATTTTTCTGAGCATTGAAGGAGGGCTAGGCACGTTGTGAACTGTAGTCTGGCCCAGCTCCATAACAAATTGTCAGCTCCATTGTCGGCTCCGATATGGTCATACATCCTCCGTCATCGCCCCAACTGCTTAGATGCTCCTCTAAAACTCTCTTTTGGAACCCGCTATAACAAAGCGGCCACAAGCTACGCTGTTCATTCTCTTCCTCAACCTCCCGCCTCCCAATTATCAGACGCAACACACGCGTCGAACGTTTTCTTTGTCGCGCGGACCACTTACGACTTGCTTTTACGTTCATTATGACAATTATCTGGGGATTCGACCTTTCGGAGATGCACTGGGGTGCGTTTGGGTCCCGGAACATGTTCGACAGACGGTGGCATCTCCGAAGAGAGAGATTCAGTGAGCGAATACTGTCATTCGTCTTGTATCAGCTTCTAACGTCGTCGATGTAAGTTGTATACCAGGTATATTCCCTTCAGCGTCACCGCACCACTTGTTCCTAATGATCAATTTTTTTTTAGCTTGCGATGATGATTGGTCTGGCGGCTGAGGTGAGTTTCCACTCCTTGATCAAACTGCTCTTTATTTATATCCCACCAGTGCACCGCAACATATTCTCTTTCAAAATACGAAGACCTGCAGGACCACATCGAGCAACTGAGTGGGCATACAGCCCTCGTTCACAATAACAACATCATAGACGCGGCCATCGTCACGATCGTCTTCTGCGTTCTCGTCGCTACAATATTTGGCGCCGATTTTTTCTTCCTTCTATTCTGGCCTCGGCGCAGATACCCTAGATGGTACGACGTGACGAAGAGACTTTTCGCTGTGATTATCTCGTTGGGCATGGCAATAGCAACGCTGACGAGTACGGTGCGTTCGATCATAATTTTTTCGGTCTTGTACTTGCTAATCCTGCGCTCTCGGATAGGTTATCGTCGCTCGCCAGTCGGCTACAATCACCGGTGTCGATGCTGCGACAGCACAACAATACACTGACCTCTACTTCCGCCCACCACTTGGTACGTCAATCACATGCTCATCGGAGCGTCCGGAAAATTGACTTCCTTTGTCAACGCCAGTTTATAGACATTGGGCCACAAATATCGCATGGGTCGTCCTGCTCTGGCCCGCCTTTCTCTCAACAGTCGCGAGGTGAATATCATCCCTCTCTGCTTCACGCATGAAAGCTCATCATTGATATCGCTGTGCAGTACATACATCATGTTCATCGCCTCATCCCACGACCGCGAACTCGGAACAGCACCAGAGACCGTCGAAGGCGAAAAAGACACCGAATCACTCCCGATCCGCGACGAAGAAAAGAAGGAGAGTAGGGACCTTTCAGCGGCACCGACACCTCCAAACGAAAAGGTACCCGAAGAAAATGGCGCCGCCGATAGAGATAGCATGACGGCGTCTGCAACTCTGGAAGACGGTTCAACGATACCCACACCGCTGCCTACGTCTTCAGTGGAGCGACTCGGTCATATGTGATATGAATAGCTGTGATTTCGAGGGCCTTGTTTACGCAAGGATTTTTTTTAGGCTTGGGGCATGCACGACTGATTTTCATGACATGATTTAAACGGACGACTGGTTATTAGTTACTTTTCGTACTTATTGGGGCCGTTCCTTCGTTTCGTACTACTGTAATACTGTACCGATACTAAGTAATTTAATACTGCATCATTCGGCAGAATTATCGCGTACATTCCTGTTCCAGCAATGAAAGGATTCAAATATTTAACGTTCATCCATCTAGAATACATCATCCGAGTATCTGATGCTCCGAGTCGTCAACGTCCCTCATTAGAAACAAACACTACAATTGCAGCCTGTCAGGAACTTGCCTTCCCAAAGAAGCATCACCGCCTTCGATCAGCTCAATCCACGACCTATCGTGCGACGAATACCCTCGATTCGAACACACTAAGCCTCCCTCCCGGTCGATCACCGTGCCAAAAGTCGCACAGCTACAAGTAGACGAGCTATTCTCGTCTTTCCTCGACTCCAACTCATGCCCAAGTCGCGCTTTGAAAAGCTATATATATATACCATGGGACGACGGCCCTTCTGAATCGACGCCGCAGTAGAAAAAGACACACGCAACGAGAAATGGGACATGATAAAGGCAGTCGAACCATTCGATGGTTCTTCATTTTTCATTTTCCTTCCCTTGCTCCCTCGTTTCAGCGTGTCCTCCCAAGGCCTTCGTATCCTGTTCTTCGTGACTTCTGCATCGTCCATCGGGGTTTCGCAGTAACCTAGAACATAGGTCGTCTGGTTTGTTACCGCCGAAAAAATGGTGCAAAATAAAGGATTCGACTTATCGCAAATATCATGGAAAGCATTCTCGCGGGAAGAGATGTTCAGTCGGCGGTGGTACCTGCGGCGCGAGAGGTTGAGTGAGTGCTTTTAGTCCTCGGTGGCCGTAATTTACTTACGCTAACTATCACAAGTCTTCTACACCGTACGCGATTAAAAGAGCAAAACGGTTCAATGTATTCACTCAGCTCCTCTATTAGCTCACAATGCTAATCGGAATGGCCGCGCAAGTGAGTATCTCGCTCTTACATCCATAACCAAAAGGATACCCACCTGACTATCCAAACACCAACACGAACCTCGTCCCCTAACCATAGGGCGCCGCAACCTACTGCATGTTTAAATACCGCTTCCTGCGCACGCACATCCAAGATTTCACAGCGCACGCAGCGCACGTCCACAACGCCGACATCGAAGCCACCACCATCCTCAGCATAACCTTACCCTGCGTCTCGGTGCTCCTATTCAACGCGGAGTACTTCGTGATTCTTTTTTGGCCGGGGCAGACGTATACGCGGGGGTATTTGAGGGCGAAGAGGGGCGTTTTTGTGGCGGCGACGGCTGCGGCGTTGGCGACGGTTATTGCTAGTACGGTGCGCGCTCGCATGTGCTCTGTGCTTTGGCGTTGTTATTGAATGTGACGTGGTGGGGTTGGATAGATTATCGTGGCTACGCGCTCGGCGTCGATCACCGGCGTCGACGAAGCGACCGTTCAGCAACTTACGGCGCTGTACTTCCGTCCTCCACTGCGTACGTTCTAATCACGCTCAGTTCCCTATCATCATCCAGACAAAAATTCATTGACGACCCACCAATATCCTGAAACCAACAGAATACAACACCTGGCCCCAAAACATTGCCTGGGTCGTCCTTCTCTGGATCACAGTCGTTCTGAACATAATCAGCACAATACTACTCCTTAAAGCCACCCAAAGGGAAGAGCGTACCATGACTACAGCCCCAGCCGATGATTCGATGCCAAGCCCAAGCGCCGGCGTCATCGTCGTCGAGAAAGACTCGGAGTCTGAGATTAAGGAGAAATCCATCATCTCTGCGCGGACGGAGGAGGTATCGGTCTGAAGGCACTGCGGCAAGGAAGGATCAGTAACGAGATGAGTTGAACAGACGCAGATCTGGGCATGGACATTGGCGGAAAGGAATGAAGTATACGATTACATTTTTGCTACACCACGATTTCATGTTGATTGTACGCTGTAAAACACCTGTAGATATTAGTTTTCGGTTCTATGTCGGTCATGTGGTAAATATGGGCATGGGATATTCGAGTGTATAGGCGACCTTTCGACTTGATATCGACTACTGACGCGATCAGTTCATTGACAAGGCTCGGAAGGCAGACGACGTCCAGTGACTTCGTCAGTCTCCTAAAAATAACTGGAATAGCGCCAGCACGGTACGATGTCACGAAACTTGAAACGCACCTGAGAGGAATGGCTGAGAGCCGTAACAAATGCACACGACGTTGACAAATCCTCCTGACCACACCAAATGAAGGGCCAGACGTAGATGAAACGAGATGAAATGAACATCCCAGCAGCATAATTAGCTCACATCAATCAAACCCATCACATGCGCAGTGAATGAAAAAGCGTTATTATAAGCAACATGCAAACGAAGCAAGGAACCCGTGGACGGGTATATGTACAATAAAAGCTATACTACAACAACGGACAAAGGGGGCAGCAATGGTGTAGAGCAGTACATCAATTAAGGACGAGATAGGACGAATGGACGAAAATGGATGAATGAGCAAAATGAAAGGGTGAATCGAAGTTGCAGGGAATTAAATAAAACACACCAAAGCACCAAATCAGCAAGTCAACAAACGAGGTATCAAGTGCAGAAGAGATATAAGCATCATAGACCATAGCGAGCCCACATTATCCGGAGGATGAGAGAGACAAACCGAGACGGCAGAGGGACATAGGGCAGGCTGCGAAGCAGGAACGATGTCGATCGGCAATAAAAATAAGAATAGACGTAGCATAGTCGAGATAAACCGGAGCAAAGGGGCTGTGTGATCACAGCCCACCGAGTGTCAGAGGGAAGGAGACAGAGTGGAGGAGAGCGCTGGCGACAACTGATGGTGATAAGGTTGTCGAGGGGCGTATATGCACTCGGGGTTGTCAGCCTAGATAGGTGTCAATCGAGCGCAAATATATGCATCCAATGTTGGGGCATACCTGTTAGTCCTTCAACGAGACGCTGAGAATATTTAATCCTCCTCGTCGCTGCCGTCGTCTTCGCCGGCATCACTGCTCTCTTCCTTCTTCTTGGGTGCGGCCTTCTTCTTGGGTGCAGCTTTGGCCTTGGGTTCCTTAACCGCTTTTTCTTTAGGAGCCTTAGGCTCTTTAGGTTTGCGAGTTTTTGCATCCTGTCCACGGTTAGGGTTCTCGGGAGC